AACTCTTATTCTTGCATGTAATTTTTATTTTATTTGTACTGGTACAAATAGTAGTAGCTTTGTAAATTTCTATATATAGTAGTTTAATGATTCGTTCTGACTATAAGTTGAAGCCTTGATGACTATATTGTAGTAATCTATACTGTTACTATTAAAAAATTATTACTAATAAAGATATAAGTAAGGCCTCATCTTAAAACTAAAAAAAAAAAGTTGTTGATTATATGATAGAAGATTATCTTTCTTTTTGCTATTGCTTGTCTTATAGTGAAGACTAACTCCTTTGTTAAACAGTATAGTAGTAAAAAGTACAATGTATGCTTAGGTAATAGGTTAGTAATATTAAGTAGTTAGTGACAGGCTTCATAGTTATAGCAACAATACAAGTATCTTGTTTTTGTTTATTGCAATAGTAGTGCAAGGATCTTGTTTTCTGTTTGATTCTAATCTTTATAGCAATTAAAAACCTTATAAGATACTTAGCACTCATAGTACTTCATGATAATTTTTATTAAACTCTTTTGTATATAGCTATACAAGATCTCCTGTATTATTATATGTGAATTTGCTTGTTTGTATTATAAAGAAAGTTTGCTTAATATTATTTAGTTTTGGCATTATATTTTAGATATATGATATTGAAAGAAATTGGGATAGAGATTGTTTTATCACATCATTTTTTTTAGAGTTTATAAAAATTTATATATGTTATTAGTATATGAGTACTGCTAAAAGAAAACCTGTTATCAGTTTTCAATTATATTTTGTGTCTAGTTTGTTTTTTTGAGTGCTGTCTAGAGAAAATCTAACATCAAGTTTTTTCATCAAATTTAACTTTTGTGTAATATTGAATTACAAAGTAAACTTCTAAGTTACATCTAACTTATTAATTATATTTTATGATAAGTCATTACAAATATAGTTAAAAGTCTGATAATAGATTTTCTCTAGATAGCACTTAGAAAACAAACTGGTTACAAAATATAATTGAAAGCCTGATAACAGGTTTTCCCTTGACAATACTCATATTTAATAGTAGAATTTATAAATAGTGAATAGAATTATGTTTTTAATAAAGTCTGATTAAGATTCGGTAGTTATGTTGTCAATTATCATTATATGAATAGATTTGTAAATTACAAATATATGATGTTTAGTTTACACTATTTTTACAATAGATAATTATTAATATCTTAATGGAATCATAACCTTAAGTAACTACTGTGATTATTTATTCTCAAATAACTAATCAAACACATTTAAACAGATGAATTCTGAATTAGATAGCAGAGAAGCAGACATACAGAAATTATGTGATTTAGTATGATTAAACAAAATCATACTAAGGGTGTTCTCAAGTATCTTAATCAATTGGTCAGGATAAAAAATTTAATTAGCAGAGAATAGTCAAGTGAGTTATCATTTCAGTGAAAAAAAAAATGGTCTGTGACCATCTTTTTTTTCAAAGAGCTGAGTTTTATTAATAAAAATTTGCAATTGATAAAGAAATAAAAAAGATTATTCAAGCACTTTACATTGTTACATCATGTAAATAAGTAAAATTTTATTAGTACTGTAATAAATTAATAGAATAGTATTATTTTAATATATCAGTAATTTATATTATATGAATATCTTTTTTTTCACTTTCGCTTTATCTAAGAATATTCAATATAAATAAAAAACATGGATCACCTAACACCAACAGATTATTTTTTTACTTTTTATACTGGAAGCATTTATAGCAAATAAGAAATATCAGAAGATTTAAAAAAAATAACTGATACCTGCCATCTTCTAAACTTCACTAATATGACAACAAATATAACAATTCTATTGGCATTTTTTTCTCCTAATATAAGAGCTCAGCCTCAACAAAGACCCAAGACTGGAGGATTTTTGATTGATGTCTTTTCAAATTTAACTGATAATGAAGATTATAACTCATTTTGGTGATATTTTCATATTAAACTTATTATATTTAATACAATTGTTGCTAGATTGGAGACCCATCTAGCTTTTAGTTGTGAAGCACCTAGTTCTATATCTATTTAGAAATAAATTGCAATTGTATTATAGCAGTTTGCTAATAAAACAGGTATTCAAGTACTAAAATAAACTCTTGGAATAAGTCAAGGATTGGTATACCACTTTATAGATAGATTCTTGAAGGCACTATTAGATATAGAACAAGAAAAAATAATGTGGTCACAAGGATCAAAATTAGCAACAATAACATGAGGGTTTAAACATGAAATATCAGATCTAAAAAACAACTTACCTAATGTTATTAAAGCAATAGATGGATCTCATATTCCAATTCATCCTTCTTCTAAAAATAGTTCATAATTTGTAAATTGTAAAAATTTTTACTCCATTAATCTTCTTGGAGTTGTAAACTATCTAGGATATTTTATCTATGTTTATATTAGAGAAGCAGGTTAATACAAAATTATTTATTAATTTAATGTATTTTTTATTAATTTTTTTTAAAGGAAGTATACATGATTTCTATGTATTTTATCATTCTTTGCTTTATTATAAAATTTCACATAATTCTGAACAATAGATCCTGAGTGGTACTTATATTATTGCTGATTCAGCATATTCTCTCAAAACTTATTTGATGAAGCTATTTCATAGAGAATGACAATTTAATAAAACTTTATCTTCAATACAAATGATTGTTGAATATGCATTTGGATATTTAAAAAATCGGTAGAGAATTTTAAATAGTGTAAATTGTACAGATTTAGAATGAATAATCAGAATAATTCATGCATGTTGTATTTTATATAATATTTGTATCAATAATAATGATATATTAATAGACAATGAAATTGAGGAAGATAGTGAAGATAATATTGATGAATATATAGATGAAAATGAAAGAGAAAACATTGCAAGTATACAAAAAAGAGAATATCTAGCAAATATTCTTATGAATCTTTAATATTTTATTAATATAGCAATTAGCATCTTTCTAATTATACATTTTTTTAAAATTTTATTAAAACTGTTTAAATTTATCTATTTGTTCATTGTGCTGTTTTTGTTAAATTTCATATGATTGTGTATATTGATCTTTTATTGTTTCAATGTTAATTTCTGTTTTCTCTTTAATAAGATTTTAAATATCTTTGATATGACCTTTTTCATTATCAATATGGCTATTTTTTTATTTTTTAAGATTGGGCTATATTTTAAAGTAAATATAAAATGATAATTATAAATAAAATGAATAAATAAATAAAATAGTTGCTTATGCGCTATTGGTATTTTAGCTTACTAGATTGTAAAAAAAAAAAAAAATAGTTACCTTATAATTTTCATAATCAACATTTCTTTTTCTTTATGTTAATTCTATTAATCGAATCACTTGTAACTGGAGCTATAATACTTGGATCATCTTTTAAGCATTTGTCTATGTCTTTAAAAAATTTTCACTCATTCTGAAGTATCTTTTTTCCAGTATTTTTAATAGTATCCTTTATATTCTAGTATTTTTGATGTAAAGAATTCTATTTTTTTTTAAAACTGGACTTGAGGTTAAATCTTGAATATTTAAAATAATTTTATCCCAGATACATCCTTTCTCCCTTGGGTCTCTTATACGTTGTAATGCATGTTAATTTTTACTAACTTCCTCAATAAGGATTCTAGTTTTAGATGATATCTAATGATGCTTTGGCTTACTATTTGAAGCGATATTAGAAGAATTTGATGATAACTCATTTGTGGCTTAAGAAATAAACAAATTTTCTTGATTACAATTAGAATTATTAATGAAAGGTTCTAGCAAAGATATCTAAAAAAAAATAATTTTTAATTGTTTTCTATTTTTTTTATTATTGTAAAAATTATTTGTTTTTTATACTTCATCGTGTTCTGTGGTTTTGTTTAGTGCTATGGGGTTAAAGAGTTGTGTGGCAGAATTTTGTTATGTAGCAGAATACTGTTATGTAGCAGAATATTGTTACAATATCATATATAATTAGTAAAGTCTGTAAAAGACATAAAGGTATAACAGAAACATTAGGAATATTTTGAGCAACTGAAGCATTTGTGGTAGTTGAAGATATTGTAGAAATATTTGAAATAGTTGAAGAAATAGTAGGAGCAATTGGGGTTGTTGACGATGACACAATTTTTTTCATTGCTCTTTTTTTTTTATTATTTGTTAAAGACATTATGATACGAATTAATTATAAATTAAATAAATCAATTGTAAATAAAATAAATCAATTTAAATAAAACAAATTTGCTCAATCATTGATCGCAATATATATATCAATTAATTGTAATGATTGTGTATCATTTTAATCACTATTTAATTACATTGAATAAGATGCTTGAGAGTACCCTAAATCATATAATTTTGCTTTACCTATTTTATATTAGTATCATGTGCACTCATTTTAAATTTTTAGTATCGTAATATATAATAGACTATGATATTTTAGTAGTATATTAATTTATATAGTATGCTAAAACACCATAACTCAATTCGTCTTTAAAATTAGAAAGAGAATTTTGCTGTTTTTAATAATTCAAAGAACAAAGTACTTAATTTAAAAATAACAATTAAGGTAATATTGTTAACTATGAATAATTTTATTTTAGATTAATTACTCTGATACACTTACAAATTTTTATTAAAAGAAGTGTTTTTTAACAATAAATAAATCAGAAACAGATAAATTTTTACTTAGTTGAATGCAATATTTCTAAATTTTTAGTAAAAAGTGTTTTTAACAATAAATAATTAGAAACAGATAAGTTATTGTTTTGTTTAGTTGAGCACAGTATTTTAAAAATTACAAGATCTTTTTTATGAGATAAAAATGCTTAGTAAATATTATTATTATTAAATCATACTTTTAATTTTTAATTATCAGTAAATTGAATATTTTAAATATACGATATACATAATTTACAAATTCTTATTATATAAATTTCATATCCCTGCAAAGAAGATATAGTAATAAATATCAAGAATATGATTTATGCAGCATATAGATCATATATTGAATTAACTTTACTTTAGCCGATCCCTGAATTACAAGTTTGTACAAGTTTTGTTTTTGGTCTTAAAAAAAATAGGTTTTATCATACAGGATGATGATTAAGTAATAGTGAACAAACAAATCTTTTGGCAAGAACTTCTTTTTATTTCTTTAAAGATCATTAATTATCAATTAATCAAGCCAGAAAAAATCTAAAAAAGATAAAATCAAAATAAAAGATTACCACCTAAAGACTTAAGCAAATACAGTTTGGAGTATTTATAAAAATAATAAAAGATATAGATTAATACAGGATAATGCTGTTTTTCATAACTCACAATTTTTTTTTCTTCTTCTTTACATGTTTTATATATATATATATGTTATATATATATATATATATATATATATAAATATATACTTGTATACATATCTAGCAGTGTTGTATATTTTAATGTCTGAGTCTTTTGAAGTATCTGGCTGACTATTCAACTTTTTATCAAACTTATAAATTCACTCTAAAAATGCATATATATATACAAAAAATAATTTTAAACAACTTTAATTAATTACTTAAGATGGGTTACAATATATTATTCAAAGTTATTTAGTAACAAACTCTGACAAACTCTGTTCAAGTGCTGTTCAAGTTGTCTGAATGACAATATTGCATATCTAGTGTAAGTATATAAATACTAGTATATATATAGAAAAATAATAAAAGCAATTTTCTTTTTTAAATATTACAAGAAAATTGCTTTGATAATCATATACACAAATATAGTACAAATAACCACAAGTAGCAAAAACTACCAACTACAAGTAGCAAAAATTATTTATATTATATAAATACATATGACAAACACATTACACAATATAAAGTATATAACAAAAAGAAGTAGACAAAATTAAACTATTCTAATTATACCAATTGTAGTGAAATTGCCACATTTTTTGTATAATATGTACCAAAAAATTTTCAGATCACGTACTATAGATCATTTTTATAAATACCAGAAATATAGTATATTGGGATATTTTATATACTAATTAATCAAATCTATATAAGAAGTTATAGTAAAAATTAATAGTATAACTATTGATGGGAGAGCTTAAAAAAATTATATGAATAGATTGCCAATTTAACTTTAATAGTATACAGAGAGATAAAGATAAACTTAGAGAAATAAAAGATAACTGTTGAAGGTCTATTGAAACAATATAACACTATGAAACAAAGGTTTTAATATTAATAGGTATGATAATAGGATGATGCAACTATAGGTGATGCTGTTAGAGATATCTTAATAAGGATAGTAAGGTAAAAGTAGATGATAATCAAATGATGTCAATAATAACTTTAAGTCTATATAAGAGATTATTAGGGTTGAATAACCAATTGTAAATCTCATTCTCTACCACAATTCACACAAGTCACTAAGGTGAATAGCAATATTTTATTCTACAACTGGTCTAAAATCCAAGTTTTAATAAGCCAAATTGAAGTTACAAGTCAATTCAGTCTGTCGAATTGAGTTTCTAATAGATTTATTAAAGTTACAAGTCAAATTCAAAGACAATATACTAGATAAGTATATATTTTATTTAAGCGAAAGAGAATGATTTATTTATTAATGATGAGATGGAAGAAGTTATGCTTTTTAATATATTTTAGATTTTGACTATATTTACTTTCTAACAGCTATATTTACTCTATTTTCACTATATCTACACAACTATGGCTATATCTATATACTCACTTTCTAAGTTATTTCTTTGTGAATATAAAAGTAGTCTATTGTAACAGGTTCAAACAGCTATATTTATGTATCCACTATTGTGTTTTATATGCTTTGAGTAATATTCATATAATCAAGCCACCAAGCCAATCCATTCATCATTACCATTTTAGAATAAGTTATAGAATAAGTAAAAAAAATTAATAAACTACTAAAATTGGATATTGTTACCAAAATAGATGGAGTAATACAAATAAATTATATATAAGTAAAAAAGTTACCAACTAAAATCTACAAAAAAAAGAAACTAAAAATTTAATTAGTTACAATAGTACAGATTCTATGCATAGATCAGCAAAATTGATATTTTACTATCAAAATATTAGTAAATTAAAAATCAATTCACCTCACATACTAATAATTTTTTTCTGTATCAAATAATCATTATAATATAAAAAAAAGTTACAATTTTAAATTTTTTTATTTGTAATATTTAATTTATACAATATTTGAAATATCTTTAATAATTAAAAATTTAAAACTGTAACTTTTTTTTACAATATTATAATAATCATTTGATATAAAAATTAGCAGAAAAATTATTAGTACGCAAAATAAATCAATGTTTAAACTACTAATATTTTAATAGTAATATATCGATTTTGCTAATCTATACATAAAATCTGTACTATCAATTTTTACTATAACTCTTTATATAAATTTAATTAGTATATAAAATACTCCAGTAATGTATAGTTCAATTTGAGTTTTGTGTTTGTCCACAAAATCTTGATTTTGATTAGATGTAGCAATTAAATAATTAATGATCTATATTCTATATAAAATTTTGTTAATAGATCTCTGATTTTTGCTATTTTTGTTATAGTTTGGTTCCCTTTAGATAAAATAGATAGATTGCTATAACTATAATACTGTATTATCATATATATGATGTTTTAAAGTATCTTTTATAACTTGTTATTTTGTTAATAAAAATTACAGCCAATATTATTTACAGCTTTAAAAGAGTACTAGCACTCTATTATACAAAAGAATTTTAAAATAATATTAAACCTAACAACTTAAAGCTAAACTATATTGTTGTCTATTGAATGACTTAGTAAATTAAAGTAATTAGGAATGCTATATATAAGACTACTTTATTCATTACTGTATATTAAATAAACTTTTTGTCAATTGTTTAATTTTAGATAGGCATAAATTGCTTAAATTTGTTTGATTTTATAGTGTGTTTTGGATCTGCCAATTGTAAATTATAATGATTAAACCTAGGTAGGTACTACCAGATTATCTGCAAATAAGCAGATACACAGGTTGGATTGTGGTAATCTGAGTAGAAACAGGTTGTTCAATGTATAGATCACCTATAAGTCAGCTTACAGATAACTTGCAGATGTAAGTAAAAAATCAAGTTTCTAATAATATTTATTAAAAAAGGTCTGTTGACATTTAATTTTTTGAGCTGATATTTTTTAATTATTGCTAGCAAAGATGCTTTGAAAGTATTATTTCTGTAATCAACCAGAGATATAAGTATGTAGTCTTATAATATTTATATTAGACTATGCAAAATTGAATTTTCACTTTGTATTTTGAAGTTTGGTCTGGCAGTTGAATTTGTTTTTTTTGTTATTAATCTAAATTAATAAACTAATATTCTCATAAATCATATGTACTATCCTATGTATTAATCTACAGTATTATCAATTTTAAATTTGAAAATTGCTATCTTAGTGATAGATTTATAAGACCTACATTCCTTTATGAAAAAATTTAACAACCTTGTTTTTCTTAGTAATTGACAATATTTGGCTATTTGTATTAATTTGGTTTAGTAGAATTTGCTGACAATTTGTCTCTAGCAAATATTAACTATAGATTAATCCAAGGTCTAATCTAAATCAGAACAACTTTTTTAGCAAAATAGTTGATTTCTAATTGACTATTATAGATATAAAATCTTGTTAGAATTGTTCTTGATAATCTTAAATCAAAAAATCAGCTAAGAATAGAAATATTTATCATAATGTTAGAGATTGTTATCAATATAAAATTAGAAAAGATATCTTTAAAATAGATATGGAATATTGTAAACCTATAGTAATATATTGTATGATTTGTATATACAAATTAAAAAATAAGGGTTCACACTAAATTTGTGAATCCCAAGCCTAATACTATTGATGGTGTAAATTATTGTATTTACTGTTTTTAGTCAAAATGATATAAATATAATTTCATTGTATTTACTGTTTTTAGTCAAGAAGCCTGTTCTACTGTAATAGTCAATTTTTAGATCAGAAAAACTGAAAAGAGAAATATATTAATAACTATATTTTTTTATTAAATCATTTATTTTTTCTAATATATATACAATAAAATATATTTGTG